AGAGCACTAGTTTAGCGCAGTTCTCCACCAAGACGCATTACAAACCAGGCCTGTGCTCACAGCTCACCCTCTTTCTACCACCACTTTCCACATGCATCTTGCATGACTCGCTGGTGATTTTAAACAAGCCCAATAACAGGCCTACAACACACGGCTCCTCGCATCGCCATGTGACCGTGATATTATTCATCTGCGGCGGGGGCGGGGGCGGGGGTCCATTGCTTTTCTCCGGCTCCTCCAAAACAGAGCTGGAGTAAGGAAGGGGAGGGTGGAACCGTACTGTGTTGCGCCCCAGGCTCCTTTTTGTGTTTACCTGCCCCTGCATGGGACTGATGCTATTTTCAGTTCCAGGGCTCAGCCATGGCTAACTGGCCCTTGCCTCTTCATGCCATTTGCCTTAATAATGTGGGCCGGACTCTCTGCGGGGAAAGTAGCCACCATCCTGAGAGTGGCTAAATGACACAGTGGAGTTCATTGATGGAAAGGATTACACGCTCGCATGCGGGGCGGCAAGGCGACGGGTTCTCTGAAGGGCACTACAAAGAGAAGCGATGCAAAATCTTCACAGGGGGAGAATGGACTGGCTTACTGTATGTCAGAGGGCGAGCGTTGACATAATTTGCGGCGTCACACTGTTTATCGGGTTGCTATAATGCATGAGTTAGGAGCCTACGGAGGCCAAGTAAATATGTGGACCCAATAAGAGATCTTTCTGTGGCACTGAAAAGTAATGAATAGAAGTTAAAAAGATAAATGTTTCAGATGCCAGTGTAATTATGTCATGGTTATTACATTTAGAGCAGTCATGTGTGATCATTTGACACCACAGTAGAAACTTATGTTTGCACTGTGTATCCATTTACATTTCCTGTCGCCAGTTTTGTATGGCATTACATCCTATGTTATTGTAGAGCATTTGACTGTTGTGAAATGCGACCGCTTCCTCCACTGTCCCCTAATAAGGAGAAAACAATATCACTTGTCTAGGGGAAAAATCACCCAAGCACCAAAGATCTGAAAGCACATCAAATGACAAGCCGCAGAACAAAGCATAAGCTGTCTTTTAACAGTCCTGAACAATAAATGAATAGACGTAGCACTCTGTTTTACCTCTGCCCTCAATTAATCCGTATGAATTCAGCCACCATGTATTAAAATGGCCAGATGCTAGGATAGATTCTGTTGGGAGCAATGACATGCAACAAAGTGATATGAATCATCCCCCCACACTGTGCAGCAGCACACTCTCAGAGGGCCAGTGACACAATTTATGGAAAAAGGAAAACAAGACACAGCCACTTGAGTATGGATGGACTGTCAAAAACGACACTGTTTAAAAAAAGACTGTCAGGCTGTGTTAGAATTAAACATGTAACCATAATTTCCACTACAGGGCCGATATACATACAGCTCTTTAACAGAAATGTAAATATCAGATTCAATCTGAGGCCAGAAATGCAAATGGGAGACTCTGTACCATTAGTCAGGCCACGTTGAATATTCAAACAAAGATAATTATCTGTGGATTAGCCCCATTGAGAGCTCCACTTGTCAGCTGACTCTTAGGAGAAATTGTTTAATCATTAAGACCTTTTGCTTTCTGAGAACTGCCAGCAACCACAAGCCCGATTCAAGTAAGTCTTATTGTATTGTGCCCGCACTGGAGCTGGACTTGCTCTATGTGTGTACAGCAAAGTTGTCACATTGCATTATTTCTGAGTTGTGAGCCATTTTAGCAATTAACCAACAGTCACTTTTAATTAATTTTGGTTTTAATGGTTCTTTTTGAAGTGTATTTGTCTGCGAGGTTCTGCTCTGCCACTCGCAATATCCAAAGCCTCGGAGAGGTCTCAAGAAGTCAGGTCCATCGTATGACAACATGCTATGCATCAGCGGGTGCGAACAACTTTTCACACTCACATCCTATAGATTCAGCCCCCCTTGAGACATGATATCTATAAGAGCTGCTAAATGCGAGGGCAGTGTGAAAGCAAGACCCAAGGTCATTCTTTGGAGCAGAATGGTCGAACAGGCAGTGATGTCGGCCCCATAGCTGGCAGTGCTTTGGCCCAAATATCTCTTCCGATGTGGGCTATTCTAAACATCGCCTATTTCTCATTCTGCACCAGTCTGTGACAATCCCCCCCCCATACTTACCTATTCATTAGCAGCCCTCTGCATCCAAAAAACAAAAGCTGTAGCATTTCAAAGATTACCTGTATTTGAGGAGGGCTGTAGAACCCCCCCCCACACACTTTTTTTTCCTCCCCCTTCTGAAATGATTCCTATATCTACAAATCTCTACCACTGCATACATAAATATCCAGCCTCTAGCAAGAATGTGTTTGTCAAAAAAAAAAACAGGAATCAAAGGCCATTCAAGAAAGGAAATCATAACATTATATCTATATTTAGCTTCCGTTGTCTTAATTGGCATGAAGAGTACAATCAGATAAGCCTTTTGACTGTGACTCACATGCTGCTTCAGGAGAGGGAGAAATATCATTTACCAGCCTATATCTCCTGCCAAGATATGTTTTTTTTCTTTCTTTCTTTCTTTTTTAGTGTGTCTGTGTTCATTATGGTGCTATTACTCAAGTTGTGAAGAGTCTATGTGACCGGGAGCTACTATACCTGCATTTACCTACATCTGTTGGACACACAAACACCAACTGAGAGCTTATTTTAAACTACACTTAAAATCCTTGTTGCCTGAGCGTTTTATCTCTACCGCAGTCACAAAAGCCACCAACCATCGAGCTCCATGTCACTCCCATGTTGCCCCTATATTAAGGTCTCTGTGGTACTGGTCCATCTGGGCTCTGTGAGGTCACTGCACACACCACCTGCTCCGATCCGGGTTTTCGCCGTGGCTTCTGGGTAGCATCTCTGGGCACGCGTGGAGAGGCAGATGTATAGATTTAGTTGTAGAAATGCCCTCAGACACTCATAAGCATAACACAGACACGCATATAATGTCTTACTGCACACACAGGGCTTACACTGGCATGCTCCACACACAATCTGTACAATTTACATTTCCAGTCATTTTGTGTTTAATGAGACTTACTGTATGTGGTTCACTAATATAGGGAGACAATTGCTCCTCGCATGCTCAGGTGGACTTAATAGGCTTACAAGACTAAAAATTGGATTGGGGTTAGCGCGTTCCATGGAGGGAGAAATGTATTGTCAGATGTTAATTTCCTGAAAATAATGTCTAAACAGAAAGCAGTCCTCTCTGCATGTACTATTTGTTCAAGATCTCATGCAACACTGTAGAACATCATTCATAATTGTCTTGCAAAGGCACTCCCTGTGTGACAATAATGATCATTTACATATAGAATGATGTTTCTGTTCATCAGAGACATAGCGTTTAAGGATTGAAAGAGAATTCCTCCTGCAGTTGGCACCTCAGTCCGCCCAACAGAAAAAAACCCCCACTTTGTTTGAAATGTCCACAAAGCTTTTGTTTTTATTTAACAGAGGTCCTGTTGCCTATACACGTCCTGTTGACACTATATACACGGTTGATACTGCCACCTGTCCTTTTTATTGCCTCTGAATGGACAAAGAAATACTTTCCAAAAGACTGAATTACCTCTTTGATACTCTACACGCCAAACAACAGACATTTGACGTTACAGTCTTGTGTTAATTCAGGAATGGTGCAAACAATGTAAACTAATTATCTATTCACGAACGATCATTTAATTAAACACAAATGAGAACTTCTTTTTTCTTTATATTCATGATCCTGGAAAAAGACATTGTGTGACTATTCTATTATTTTCTACATTATAGGGTCTTTTGGTGCGTGCGGGGGATCTCAGTGCTTTATTATTACGCATTCTGGCAGAGGAGTCCCGGTAGGTGCAGTGACATTTTTACAGGAGCAGCTTTGTAAAACGTTTACTGACACTTTTTTAGGGGAGCTAGAAAAGATCAGGGCCGTCAGTTCTTTTAAACTCCGAGGTGCTGCAAAGTCCCATCTGCCTTAGATCCCAAAAGCGAGGAAGAAGGGGTGAGGGATGACTGATGATGGGGCAGTCGGCTTGTGACAAATTATCACAGGGAGCTCGCCAAAAACGATCATTGATCCTGGAAGTCAATTCCTGACATTTTTCTAGTTTAATGATTTAAAAAAACTACAATTCCAAATGTGCACTAATTTAGCCAAGAGATTTGCGACTGGTGTGTACACTACAAAAACGCCCCGAATCGGTTTTATTTTGTTTCTTAAACATTTTTTTTTTTTTTTACAACAAATCTCAACAATCATCAGCTGAATTCCTTTTTCATGAAGTCATTTTAATTCCAGTCTGCTTGTTTGTGGAGAATTCCAGAAAAACGCGTCCCGCAACCTCCGAGCAGAGCGCGCTGCTTACGTGTTTGCATATATCTACTGTATATATAAATAGACAGATGGATAGATCGTGATATGGTTTTAAGGTGGACATTTTTTGCAGTGCACGGAGAGGATTTTACTATGTGCGCAGCCAGACCCCGCCTGCTCCCCGCGCGTCACTGGCGAGTAGTGTGGACGCGGAGTCACTCCCCTGCCTACTTTTAATAGCTTTGTCATGTGATGGAAAGCAGTTGTAAGACAGGTGCCCTCGGTTCATTCTCGGCGAGGGGCAGCAGTTGCCTGTGTGAGAGCGAGTGGGAAGCGTGTGTGGATTTCTTTTTTACTTGATTTTCTTTCCTTTTTTTCTTTTTTTTCTTTCTTTTTTTCTTTTCCCGGACCGTCATTCAGTGGCTGGATGGCGTGGGACAGGTGTAACCAGGACTCGGTGTGGAGAGAATTAGAGGTGAGCGCATCTTAAAAAAAAAAAAAAAAATCTTTCTAGCCCTCTGGACTTTCTTTTTTTCCCTCCTTGGAACGATGGACAACACTGACTATCCGAGACAGTGATTCTGCACATAAAGTCTCTCGCTGCCTGCTGCTCTGCTGGCTGGCTGGCTGCTGCTGCTGCTGCTGGCGGTGGCATGCCGCCGGTGTAGTGCGCGTCTGGACGCAGTTGAGGATGCAGGGGGATATACAACACGGGAATATATGACAAGTGGAGGGGGAATGTGCGGGAATCTCCCTTTTTCACCTCAGTTAAAGATGTAGTTGTTGTAATTGGTGCACAGGCTCGGGGGGACCCATTGCTTTCCTCGTAGGATCTCTGTTCAGTCGGAGCGAGTGCTCGCAAAGCTTTTGGCGGATATCTTTCCCAGCCGCGGACTGCACGCGCTCCGGTGCCGAGAAGGTTTTTCATGCCTAAATGACTGAAATGTCTCAAAGTCAGGTATTTGGCTGACGCATGAAACCCACTGACGATAACAATCCCTTTGATGTGCTGTGTCGGGATAGCGCAGGTTGTGTTCTTATTTTCTTTTTTCTTTTTTTTTAAAAAGGCGAGAGCAAAGGTTGTCCACACTGACTGACCGCTATCTGGCATTGCGCAGGAGCATCATAACACTAACCGGTTACCGGGCACGTCTGTGTGCCAACATACCGGCCGGAGGAAGCGTTGCGCTGGCTGGAGAGCAACATCGCATCCAGCCAGACTTGATCATGTTATGTTTTGTGCGTATTTCACTGTCTCCTGCGCCTTTTGGTAAAAAAATAAATAAAAAATCTGTTTGAGCAAAGTAATCAGCTCCAAATCGCTCCCTCGTCTGTTGAACCTAGTTTCTAGAACCATTCAGATAATAAAGCACATCAAAAGGATACTTATTCGTCCCCCCACACATTTTCCTAATTTACCAGGTCTTGTTACTGACATTCAGCTCTACCTGGCAGTACCTGTGTACTTGGCTGTGCACAGGAGCTCAGTAATGCTTGAGGAAAGATTCTCACTACATGGTGTAGACTGCAGTCTGGCTGCATATGTGTGGTTATGTAGGCTGCGTGATGAGAATATGAGAAGGGGGGAAAAAACTGCCTTTTGCTTCATAAAAGTAAGGGTGTGTTGTTTCCCACAGATTTAAGGGACTGCTTTTCATTCGGATGCACTCCTTTTCACTTTAATCACCGGAGCATACACGTACTCTGTCACTTTCAGCCAGGTAGGCTTGAGGGGCGAGCGTCTTCCTCTCCGTTTGGACTGCGATAGCGTTTATCTCCCCACTGTTAATCCAACAAATGCACGCGTTTTGTTTGAGCTCCTTTTTCGACTCGTTCTACGAATGAAATGTATGCACGTAGACTCAATAATAAAAACCTTGCTTTTGCAATGACAGAACTCTTATCCAGCAGCTCGCTCCTCTCATAATCTTCCCCTAGCAGGTGCTTTTATGTGCGATTCGTGCGTAAATCACTGCAGCGCTGTGGTGCGCCCCGATTGTCTGTCTGGCGGCGCTATTTCATTAGTTCACCAAGAAGTCCATAAGATAATTGGGAATAGGACGTCCAGCCTCTGAATATCCTAACATCTTTGCTGCCGTTTTTTTTCCATTCCGTGCCTTGTCAGACTGGATCACCAGAAGGGTGGGGGGGAAGCCTGAGACGCAGTAGTCTGTCCCCGTCGCTGTTCCGGTTGTAACATAACGGATTTGGCTCATCATAGTCTCTAAGTCATCGTGTGTTCGTGTTGGTGCGAACCCGACGACAGATGAACTGTGACACCGGTGTCTGGGCGGTTTTTCCTACTTGGCACAGCATCCGTCTCCCAGCTTTGCCCTGAGCCGAACCCGGCTCTCATCATCCCTCACTCTGCAGGCCGAATACCTCCCGGCTTTGCCCGAGGATATCTATCATATATCAGTCTTAAGGCCATCCCGTGGCGTCCGTACATCGCTTTGCTTGTTGTCAACCAAATTAGTAGAGTGTAGCCTATTAGACAGCCAGACATAGAGCTGTTTTCTCAGGCTTGGATTTGCATGTGCACAGTCACAGAGTGTAAACACGCCTCGACTCTGCTGTGTTTTTAATGATCACTGACTGTAGATCTCAAAGTTTTCCCACCTTGCACAGAGTAGGGTCTGCCTGACTGGTCATTTTAGCTGTTGGTTTCATGCCTGGTGGTGAGGGGGTGGGGGGGGGTTACATACTGAACTGGGTACATTATCCATAATGATGGGGATAATTAATACTGAGCAACATCATGGAATACGGATTTGGTAAATCTCCTTCATTTAAAATGATCTTGCAAAATCAGCAAAGCCTTGTAAACCTGCCCCCCTCTCCGCTGAAACACCTTTCACATCACCAAACCCCTCATTTCCAGTCTAGAGCCCCCCCCCCTCACCTACAGCCAGAACAGAGCTGATGATTTGTGTGGGGAGGAAGCAGGCACAGCTGCCACATACAGTACACATTGGCTAGATTACATAAAAGTGGCTGGTGAATAACAAAATGTCAACAGGCAGCATTTAGCAGCACGGAGGCCAGCACCAATCTCAGAGCTCGGGGAGTGATGGTGGGAGGACACGGTGTGCTGTAGGTTGAGTACAAGCAGAGTGGAAACAGGTTGCAGGTCTGAATGTTGCAAAACCAGCCTGTGAAAAACTGTTGTGATCATTTTTAATCAATAGTGTGTCACATGAAAGGGGCAGACATATTCCAAATTGTCAAATGAGGGAATTTGGAACTTACTTTGTCGTCAACATGAAAACCTTTGTGTTTCATATCCTGTAAATGTATGGATTTCCTTTGTTTCGGACTCAACAGACGGTTGACTCCTGTCCAGATTTTGATTCTACCAATTGTTCTCAAACTTGGCACAAAGAATTCAGTTTGTGATTTGCATATGAAAGAGATGTAATCTTTTTTTTGTCTGACTATCCTTGTCGTTTTCTTTCTCTCCAGTGTGCTGCCTTGGTTGGTGAAGACCAGCCCCTCTGTCCAGACCTCCCTGAACTTGACCTCTCAGAGCTGGATGTCAGTGACTTAGATGCAGACAGTTTCCTGGGTGGCCTCAAGTGGTACAGTGACCAATCAGAGATCATTTCCGCTCAGTATGGCAACGAGGCATCCAATATTTTTGAGGTAAGTGAAGCTTACAGTAGTTTTTTTTTTTTTTTCCATCACAGCATCTTGCGTATTACGTATTCAGCAACCCCATCAATACTTGTTATTTATTGCATGGAAAGTTGCTGTTTCTAAGCAATATGGTGCTATGGAACATCTTTGCATCCACAGTGATTTCACTATATGGTCTCCCAGGGTTCAGGAGTGAGCTAGAATAATAACATGCCCTAGCAAACACAACACGCTATCGCACCCTTGAATGTGAGCCAAACAAATGTACAACTGCTACCAGTTTACAAACATGCTTTTACATTGCTCCGAAGTACAAAAGGGGAGATAACGTGAAGAACGATAAGCCTCAGGAGGACCTTTGTCCCCTTGTTTGGATCCTGGCTGCGACGGTAGGCTCCCTTATCAAAACTTGGAGCATTTATTTCTGCCCAGAGTCAGTAATGCGGGAGACATCTGAAAGAGCGCTGTGGTAGTAAACTCTGGACACCGCGGCTATATTGCAAAACACTTCTCAAAGGTTGGAGTGTAAAACTTTAATCTTTGCTTCCCCCTCTCACTCCCCTGTTTTGTTTCTCTCTGTCTCCGCTTATCCCTCTTTCTCCATCTGACTCTCTCTTTCTGTTCTCACCCGGTGACAAACGAAGTCCACAGAGGGTGATGATCTGGCCAGGGCCATAAAGCCATCGGTCTTGGGACTGACTTCCAGTCCCCAGTTCATTATAAGCCTTTATCAGTGCCAGAGATAGACAAGAAAGACTGAGATTGGATGCTTTAGCCTCGCCTCAGGAGGAATAACCCTGTCTGAGGGTGTGTGTGTGTGTGTGTGTGTGTGTGTGTGTGTATATGGTCCTGTCATGTAGTCACGTTTTCGGGGTCTCTGTTGTGTTTTTTTGTGTATGTGTGCGTGAGTGTGTGTGCCTTCTCAGTGGTTTTGCAGGCAACAGTTGATAAGAGGCTAAATTCTTTCCACGTTTGACCTCCTTCGTACCACGGCCACCTTTTTCAGAGTCTCTTTATATCACCACACATTCTACCTCTGGACCACCCCTACACACACACACACACGGGAAGGGGGGCCTTAAGTACTAGCTGGTGTGACCGTGGCTCCTCTGTCGTCTGAGAGTGATATGGCTTGAAGCCACCGAGTGGCTCTGGGGATGGATAAAAATACCAATGAGAGTGTGTGTGTGTGTGTGTGTGTGTGTGTGTGTGTGTAATTTTAAAACACAATGGAACTCAGCATCCACTGAGGACACTGACAAGGGAACGAGCTCTGAGCAAGAAGCTGTGTGTGACTTCCAATGTGGGAAAGAGCTTGTATTTGTGTGCCTGCATGGTGCACATGCTCCTGCACACCAGCGCACGTGTTCGCATCCACACGAATACAGTACATTGCAGTTAAGCTGGTGATGTTTTCACACACTCAACAAGCCAGCAGTTATTGTATTATGCTGAGGGTAAGGAAAGGCTTCTAATCAAGCAAAAACTGGGATTTCAAAGAAAGTAATACATTTCCCTGACCAGGGATTTTTTTTCTTCCATCTTTGGAAAGTTTCAAGTCACCATATGAAGTGCTCAGTTCATCATACGGCAGGACCCAGCTAATCCTACTTAATCTGACAGGGGAAAGTTTGCTGCTCGGCAAGGATCAAAAAGCTAGGGCTGCAGCTGTACTTCCTGCGCCCCCCTGATTGGCCTCCACACAGGGCAGAGAAGCATCCAATCAAAAGTTGAAGATTAGAGAACATGTTAATTAGTGTTAACTGGACAGATTTAAAGCCTGTGTGTGTATTCTTTGTTTTCTTCCCTTCCTTATTTATTCACTTCACAAATCAGTGTGTGGGCGTGTTTTAATAAAAATCATGTGGCAGATTATCAAGGCTGCCCTGAGTAACATGTGTAACAGCTGCATGCAGCTGTCAAACAGGGGCCCCTCTTTTAACAGTCCCCATCAAACAACATGCTCCCTGGAATTTTGAACTGGCTTTCATTAATTCAAGTAAGTCAACTGTTGAAATGATTTGCAGCTTGGACGGAAAGACAAACGCCTACTGTTTTTCTTGGGCTTTTATTCAGGTAGCAGTTCCATGTGACGGACAGTAGCAAATGAGTAAACGGAGTTTGACTTGGTTATACAGTACAGTTGGGGCTGGAAACATTGTTGACACATCATAGAAGGTTTTATTTGATAATTACAGGGACAATGGAAACTGTTCACACCCTGTATAAGCAGTGTAAGTGTACGTATGAATGTGTATAAGTCCATGTTTGCATCTGTGTGTGTTCTGTTCCCTGAGCAGCATACGGCCTAAGATCACAAGCTGTCCCCTGGCTGGCCTTCTGCTCCATTCCCTGCCACTGTCCCAACTGTCCCTGACACGAAATGTGGAGAATGATACACCACAACCCCTCTCTTGTAACACACACACACACACCTACACACACACATAACAGCTATCGCTCCTGGCACAGCATGTTTGACACCTCTTCAAAACGGCCCGACCGTGAAAGTCCACGGTCTATTTTGGGCTGCAGTTGTTAAGGGGTGGTTACTCCAATAAGTTCCCAATGTACTGCCAAAGATAACGGCATAGAAGCATGACCCAATGTCTTTTTAACCGCAGGTCTCCACTTAGATATCATGTGGAGCTTCAACCAGTTGATTGATGGAAATGCCTTTTGTTGGTTTAGGTTTACTCACATTCCGATGTGGATGTCGCGGGTGGCAGTCGCACTGGGATGTGGCATGGCTGCATCACACGTATACAAATACAGGCATTTACAGTTGTTGTAGGTTGAGTCAGTCTATGTGATTACCGGAAGAAAATTGGCACAGAGGTTACCTTCTGACATATTATCACTGCTGTGCCTGTCCTTTTGGGAGATACACTGATGATAGATGGACAGGTGGGACAAAGGGACAAGGGCAGATAAAGAAAAGTGAAACAAAGAGATATGCAGAGATAGACAGAAAAGGCCAGTAGATGACAAGACAGACAGACAATGGTGACAGATGGGTGGTGAAAGGGACAAACCTGTGAAGCTTGAACCTAAATCAAACGCCATGGATTGGAATTAAAAGGCTGGGGGCTTTGCAGGTAGTAAAATAAGATGCAGAGGCTTAAAGCATTATATCGTATAGGGACCGGCTGTGAGTGAGGACGCACATATGTGGGCCGTGTCAGTCATGCAATCTCTTTACTTCAACAGGATGTGGTGTGCGATGGCATCAGATTTTACGAGGCATTAAGGTGCTTTGTCTTGCTTGTTTGTGCATTTTCGGACAGATGCTCAGGCGCTTATTCTTAAGTAAAGGCAGATTAGATTGATTGGGTCATCTTTAGCAGGCTTTGATGAAACATGCTGGGATGAGATGTTTTCCTCAAGCAGCCCTTCCTTCGCTGCGAGCATGTGTAAGCAAAGATTAGCTCACACACTTGTTGGCGATAGGCGCTCATGTGAGCTGAAACGGGAGTGCACACAAAGTCATAGACCCCCTGAGAGGAATTGTTACGCCCCACACACACACACACACACACACACACACAAACACACACGCAAACACAGACAGCAGAGACCCTTATTGTCCCTGCTTCTACTCCCTGCTGAATGCCGGTTGCGTTTATTTTGCAAATTTATGCTGACATTTGAGAGTACACCACCCGCACCAGTTCACTGCTCCAGCAAAGGGTGTATGAATTATCATATTCCACTGTATAATATGATTTTCTCAAGTGAGTCTTATTAGAATACACCATACTTTCCTCATCTCGAGTTCCCTTCAGTTTTTACTGTGCTGCTGATACATTGTTTGCACTGTCTGATGGAAGAAATCCTCCGTCACTGTCGAACTGAAGGCAAACCGTGCTTTCAGACCCGCGGCTATGCTGTTTCAAGATACACAAATGAGAGGGAGCGCAGACAAGTAGGTGCAGACATATAGTAGAGAGAGATGCAGACTTAGGCTGTCCAAGCCTGTGTCATCTTGGAGCGTCTGTCAGATCCACTCCACAGCAAGAGCTCTCAACCCGCCGCCCTGCAACACTGTGGGCTCTGCTTTCTGCCATCCCTTCGCTCCCTCCCTTCCTCCCTCTGTCTTTTTCGCTCCCAAGGCAAAGCATTTGTTCCTGGCTGATGGGAAGTTGAAGCTGCCGTGGCTAAACAAATATATTCTGGCCTCCAACAAGCGCTTCTGGAAAGAAAGGCTAGAAGGAGGTAGGGAAAAAATAAAGGGATAGGGAGCAGAGGGGTGGATATGGCACAAAAAAAAGGCCCCTTAAGGACAGTTTGGAAAAAGAGCAAGGGAACATCCTTTGGTCTGGTGGTGGCTGCTTAGCTGCCTGTCTAGCTCACTCCCTCTCTCTCACAGTCTCACACACACACACACACACACACACACACACACACACACACACACACACACACACACACACACACACACACACACACACACACTCAACTCACGTTCCCAGTGGGCTGCTGCTGCTGATTGAGGCATGGTTTGGTGTTCCTGCCCCAGCTGATCCCCAGCCCCCAGTGGATACCCATCTCTCATCATCACACTGGAGCCACCAATGTGTATGTGTGCATGTGTGTCTTTGTGTAATTGAGACACCCTATACGAAGATCAGATAGTGGTCTTTTCTGGCTAGACACAACACTTTTATCGCTTTCTGTTTTGGGTGTTCATATGTGTGTATTGGGCGGGAATTACTATTTTTAGTACCTGGGGTAATCTCCACTAAGAGCCTTTCAGGGCTGTTTCACTTAAACCTGGCCAAAACACTAAGCCAATAATCCACCCCCCCCAAACTCATACTCTCACTCACAAACACACACACACACACACACACACACATGCACACACATGCACAGCACCATGTTGTAAGGATGCCATGCGATAAGACCATCTTTCCTTCTATTATTTAATAGTGTACACTTTGGAGTGGGAGGAAGGTATCAACAGTTAATTCCTAGAATGCTTCTGTACTCTTATCGTTATGCAA